TCTCTCTCTCTCTCTCTCTCTCTCTCTCTCTCTCTCTCTCTCTCTCTCTCTCTCTCTCTCTCTCTCTCTCTCTCTCTCTCTGTGTCTCTCTCACATATGCACGTGCATGCATGCGTGTGTCCAGTGTACGTAGCAGGACCCCACTGTCTGGATCCCGACCAGACTTGGTCTGTGGAGTGATAGATGCCAACCAACCAGGCATAGCAAAACTGAGTGTGGTCGGGATCCAGACACGGGAAAAGGCAGCCAACCTACCTCCCCAGAAATCTTCATGCAGAGTGCGCTCCCTTTCTTGACTCGCTGCCAAGGCGGAGCAAACAGCATCTTCAGTCGTGCAAAGAAGAGAGGCCATCCCTCCAGTTTGCGGAACACCATCTCGCCCGATGGCAGCGGCTTCACCTCCGCAGCCATCGCTGTGGCGCCAGTCTCCTCTTCTCCGGCTTCCATGTCCACAGTGGTCGTCGACGACGCCGCCGCCGCCATAGCCGCGCCCGCGCCTGCTGCCAATGCCGTACCGTCTTCAGCCTCGACTTGGGCAGCTCCGCCTACTTCCCCCTCCTCCGTTCTCATTCCCTGGGTCTTGTCGTTTTGCGCATCCACGCTTGCGCTTCTCGCCCCGCCATCTTCTTCAGGTGCCGCGCCACCCCGCGCATCTCCACCAGATTGCGCCGGAGACTCCGCCGACTGCGCCGCAGCAGCCGTGCCTCCGCCTTCCGACGACGACGAACAGCATCGCCATCGCCGCCAGCTCCACCGCTCCTCCGCCCACGTCCTCCCCCTCCCATCTCCCAACCGCAGTTGGGGTGATGACAAGGACCCCCCCCGCCAAAACACCCCCCTCTGCCCCCCGGAGGCAAGGCTGTGAGGAGCCCCTTGTAAAACCCCCTCCTTCGACGACAACCCCCACCCTTTCCCGCAGCCAGTGCGGGCAGCCCTCTTCCCAGTCAAACTGCACGTACGCCGAGAGCAAGACGACGAGGAGCAGTGGAAGTAGGCGGAGGAAGAGGAGAAGGAGGAGGAGAAGGAGGAGGAGGAGGAGGAGGAGGAGGAGGAGGAGGAGGAGGTGGTAGCCTCTAACAACAAAGCAGTGGTCTCAAGCACCGTCTCTAGTTCTGCAGCATGCACAAGACGGGCCTCTCTCCTCCATCGAAGAGCAGCAGAGAAATAACTCCCTTTCTGCACATAGCCAAGTCGCCAACACAAGAAACAAAAGAGCACCAAACCGGAAAAAAAAAAAAAAAAAAAAAAAAGAGGATCACTTCACTGGCTTTCTCCGTTTCTTTTTAATTTCCTTTCTTTTTTTTGCCCTTTTTTTTTTTCTTTTTTCCCCACTTTTGCTGATCCCACTACCGAAAGTTCGAAGTTTGTTCGACGAATGTTCATCCATCCGACGTGCATTGCATCGGCGACAGGGCTGACCCCACAAGACTCACTTTTAAATCATAACAATAAATTAATGATAACAATAGAAAAGGCAAAAAATTAAGCAAAACCAAAATCGCCATCATTGATTCAAATTCACACACACACACACACACACACACACACACACACACACACACACAAAAAAAAAAAAAAAAAAAAAAAAAAAAAAAAAAAAACATTGGCAGCTAGCAATGAGGGCAGCGAGTCACAGCACTCCTAGATGAGGAGAGCCGAGTCAGCGAAACGGCTGATAGTAGTCCGTCGGCCGAGCTGAAATCTTTTTTTTTTTCTTTTTTCTTTTTTTTCTCTCTCTTTGAAGCTCAAATCTTGATCACAGGAACGTAGTGAAGTTAGCAAACGACCATGCCAAGGCACATATGACAAGGGACGAGAGAGAGAGAGAGAGAGAGACACAGAGAGAGAGAGAAGAGGGTGAAGTAAGAGAGAGAAGGAGAGAGGAAAAAGAAAAGACAGCGATGAAGGAGATATGAGAGAGAGAGAGAAGAGGGTGAAGTGTGAGAGAGAAAAAGAAAAGAACAGAGAGCGACGAAGGAGAAAGAAAAAAGGAGAAGTTGAATGAGGGAGAAAGAAAGAAGGGAGTCATAGACGCTAAGGAGGTGGACACGTGGCCAGTAGCGCAAAAGAGTGCCTCCCGAATTTATAAATATATATCATTAATAGTAATAAGTTAATAACCAATGAGCTTAGCTCAGTTGATACACCCATGATCTGTTCAATTACAGACCCAAGCACGAATCCTGATGGACCTTGATGAATGCAATGGGAAAAAAGGACTACAAAAAATATACACATATACATCTCGTTTCTTGTCCTCCTCTCCCTCTTACAGATATATGTTTGTTTTGTGAATCTTGTCTGCTTTGATTCTGTTATTGGGCATTCTGGTTGGTTGTTTCCCGTTGTTCGGCCTTTTGAGCGCGGGGCGGTGCTTGTATGTGGGAATCGTCATCCGGGATTGTCTTCTCTTTCTCTTTGGTTGTCACACTGGGATCGGAGCCTTTCTTTTTGATTTCTTTGCAGACAAGAATGTTTTGATATCCTGGTTGGTCTCGTCCCGTCGTTTGGCCTGTGAGTTGGGGCGGTGCTTGCATGTGGGACTTGTCATCTGGGATTGTTTTGTTGCCCCCTGTTCTGTATTATTTGGCTGTTCCCTTCCTCTTTTCTTTGCCTCTTTGCCTTCTGGCTGTGTGCAAGTGGGTCGATATGACACACGGGGTTGGGGGCAGCCGCCGCTCAACCTACATCCACGTGGGCGGCCTTGTACGCAAGAGGTTCTGAACAGGGGGAGTTTTAAGGAAGAAGATAAAAAATGAACTGATATCTTTTTTGTTTTCCTTTGTCTTTTTCGCTTTTGCGCTCTGATATTTATGTGATGATATATATATATATTCGTCTTCGCGCTCTGATTCAGTGTGCCAATATATATAGATATGTATATCAATAATCACCAGCAGAAACCATCGTCGGCGAGTCATCAAGATGTGTTTCGACGACAGCCTCGCCGGACCATCATCAGGGCAAAATTTACCCCTTTTCTTTTTCTTTCTTTCTCTATTTCTTCTCCTTGTTCTGTTTGTCTTCACACTGAATGGCCCATGGCCCATCATCAGCTCAAAGTTCGCGGGCATACAAAAAAAAAAAAAAAAAAAAAAAAAAATTGCGGCCATCATCAGGGCAATTTTTTTGTGCTGCTATCCTCCGGGACATCGCTTAACACAGTTGGAACTACAATTCTTTCAAAAAAAAAAAAAAAAAAAAAAAAACAGGAAAACAAAAAAAAGTGGGAACGGTACACAGAACATTGATTAGCACGGTCCCTGCGCAAGGATGATCACACGCATTAATCGAGAAAGGTTCCTTTTTTTTTCTTCTTTTTTTTAAAATGCGCAGCCAGAGAGAGACCACTACTTACCATCATCTAAAAATAATAATAATAATAACAGTAATAATATAAAATAAATAAAAAACACTTACCATCATCTTGACTACTTGCTCCGTTCTTTTCCTGTCATAGCTCTGCCCCTCATGGGGAGCTGGCCACGTTTTCCCACCGACGACGATCCTCGTAGCAGCCATAGCATGCATTCTGAATGGATGAATCTGGCCGCAATTCCGTCCCTGGTGGAGAAAGGCACGCAGTAAGTGACGTCAAGGAGGGACGGATGCTAAGGGCATACTCACACCAGGACTTTCCCGAATGAATCTGGCCGCCAATCCAGCCAGATTCGGACAAATCTCGGGACCGCAACTACGTCCAGAGCTTAGTAGAAAAAGTCCTAGTGTGAATGAATATGCCCTAACTCTTTTTCATACAAGCTACCTATCTGCCGCGGAGATTTTTTTATTTTTATTTTTTTCGGGG